AAGATTCGGGAGGAGCAGAGGATGGTAACCACCAATGCGTGGATGCTTCCTGTAGACGGCATCTGGCCAAGTGACCACGTATTCATCTCCACGCCGACCTTTAACTACACTACAAAGGACTACCAACGGTTTTTCAAAGACATTGATAATGAGGAGGGCTGGTAAGAAACAGTTTGGTTGGCTTGGTTGGTTTTAGAGAGTCTTGATTGCCAAAAGTTAAAAAAGCAGACCAGAAATTGTATAGTATCAGTGGTCATCTGTATTTACTGCTTTACCTCTCCTTTGTGAGCAGAAAGTGTGAAATTTCTGGGCTCTTTGACTTCTATTTCTATCTAAATGGTAGCATCTTGCTTTTTCTTGAACTATACCTTTTTAGCATATGGATCAAATATTTCTAATTTTGGTGTATTTTTTCTAATAGCAAACAATGATCATGCCCTCTTGTTGGCTCCAGGTATATGTTGGAGGACACCAAGAACCTCACTAGTGATCTCCACCCTCCTGGCGTCGAGGTATGGTGTATGTATGGCATGGGCCTTCCAACTGCCATAACAAACATCTACGACGAGGTCTTTCCCAACGGGGACCCAGTGGACTTTGTTTATGCCGATGGAGACGGCACGGTGGACACGTTCAGCATGAGTCTATGCAAACGCTGGGTGGGGAAGCAGGAGAAGCCCGTCCATATCACAGAGTTCAGAGGGCTGTTCCATCTGGATATGGTGTTTCACGAAAAGGTGCTCAACCAAATCCAGGACATCCTGGAGGGCAAATCGGACACACCCACAGAGGTTGATGTCAGACCTCACACTGAATAGAGGCGTTCAGGAGTTTGAAGCCATTTACAGTGCTAGAGTCTCACGTAGGTGACTTTTGAGCCAGATCAAACATCAAGCTTAAAACAAATATCAGTACCGTCTCTTATCTCAAGTAGGTACAACAGACCAATCTGGACTTGGGGAGAATCTATCACTGGACCCCCCCCCCACCAGCAAATAGTCCTGACCACTTTATCTTAACTAAACGCTGCTGACTCAACAATGTGGGTTTTTAACCCTGACCTGATTATTACTAAACTGAGGTCATGTATTTAGTTACCTTACGTCTGAAACTTGGTGGCAATTATGGAAATATAATAATCACAGTAATTAAAAATGTAGTAAGAAATTTTTATGATGGTTTTAGTTTTCTTGTTTTCATCTGTGTCCTCCTGTTACATCATCATTATCATTTTATTATTTTCATGCATAAAGACCCAATAAATATGAGACATTTTGTTGTGTGAGATTATTGGATTATTCCCTCAGAAACTTTGTTTTCGATAAGTTATGAGCAATGATCATGAATATTTTTGAAGTGCTGTTGTGTAAGCGGCCGTCTGAATGGTTCACCTTAAAATTACAGCATTTAAGGTCACAAAAGTCCACCTGTGTGGGTCACTTGTTTGGTTCCAGTACAAAAGTCAAGCCTTTATCTCATCTGTTGTTCGACAGCATCTGCTGCTGTGGACTCTTGACTCGCTGAAGTTGCGTTACAGCCAGGTGTTGTGCCAAAATAGTTGCCCCCGTCAGAAAGTGCCTTCCCATCCTCAAGAGCGCGCAGAGGAGCAGGAGCCACGGCGCGTTCATGACTCAAAGAAGAGCTCAAGACTCCTCTTTCAAAATAAAGTCTGTCCTGCAATCAAGTGTTTTAAGAAATAATCTGGATAATTGTGGTCAATATAATTTAATTTCCTTTATGTTAACTGCAGAATTTTAAACTGTAAGGGTCACATAATGCTAATCTTTAGACAAAGCTAAGATTCATAGACAAATATGTATTATTATTCTTTGTTTTCAGGAGTCATCGTGCAACAATTATGTACATGCAGGACAAATAAAAGCTTCCTATGCTGGTGGATATTTTACACTGATGTCACACTGAATCTGTAAAATAATAGTTTAGAGTTTAAAAAAAAAAAAAGATTTCAAAGGA